CCCAGCTCATTTTGATTTATTGTGGAGATGAGTTCTCTCTGCCCAGGCGGGTCTCGAACCCGCAGGCTCAGGCAATCCACTCACCTCAGCCTCCCAAAGGCGCGGGATTACAGGCTGAGCCACCGAGCCCGGCAATTTTATGGAGAACATTACAAATCCTTATCAAAATACACTTTGAAAGACCTAAATAAATGAGGATAACCACGTTTATATTAAGGAAAACTAAATATTATATAAATGCTAATTCTTCTTAAATTGATCTCTAAATTCAAAGCAAGTTCAACATTTTTGTTCGTAGAATTTGATAAATTTTCTAAAATTTATATAAAATAACAAATGGTCAAGAGTAAGCAAGACAGGCTGGGCACAGTGGCTCACGCCTGTAATCCCAGCACTTTGGGAGGCAGAGGCAAAAGGATTGCCTGAGTCCAGGGGTTCGAGACCAGCCTGGGCAACTTGGTGAGACTGCATTTCTACAATAAATCAAATAATTAGCCGGGCATGGTGGTGCATATCCGTAGTTTCAGCTACATGGAAGGCTGAGGTGGAAGGATCGCCTGAGCCCAGAAGGATGAGGCTGCGGTAGCTGCGAGCTTGCCACTGCACTCCAGCCTGGGTGACAGAGCGAGACTCCAACTCAAAAAAAAAAAAAAAAAGAATAAGCAAGGCAATCATAAAGATATGTTGGTGGCTAGATCTGTTGCTACCTCTCATTTGAGCTTGATCTTCAGTTGCCTGCTAGCCTTTGCACAATATGACGTACACTGAATATGAGTAGTTTTATTTATACAGATAACATTAATATATATAGCTACTTAAAATTCAACAAGACCTAAAATGAAATCATTGTAGCTATTTTTTTTTTTTTTGAGTTGGAGTCTCACTCTGTCACCCAGACTGGAGTGCAGTGGCCGCTCCCGGCTACCACAGCCTTCACTTGCTGGGCTAGGTGATCCTTCCACCTCAGCCTTCCAAGTAGCTGGAATGACAGGCACACGCTACCACATCCAGCTGATTTTTTATTTATTGTAGAGATGAGGTCTCGCCAAGTTGCCCAGGCGGGTCTCGAACCCGTGGGCTCAGGCAATCCACTCACCTTCATCATAGCTATTTCAAGGCAGCTTCTTCTGTCATATTCTTTGTGCAGCTGAATGACCCTACCATCCTCCCAGACACCATACCTAGAAATCTGGGAGTCAGCTAATGCTTATCCTTTTTGTCTCCTAAATATCTACACAGTCACTCAACCACTGCACATCACTACTTTCATTGCTTTAGTTTTGGCTTTTACCTTTGCTCAGACTATTTGAAATGCTCTTCTGTATATTCTTTGTCTTTTGTCTTCCTTTCCCGTACCACCTTTCACAAAGTAATCTTTCTAAATCTGATTATATCAACCTCTGATTACAACCCATCACCTTCAGGATAAAATCCAAACTCCTTTAAGATTTGGCTGCTGTCATCATAATTCCGTATGCATATTTTGCCCCAATAGAGTGGGGTGTGTGTGTGTGTGTGTGTGTGTGTGTGCAGTTTTTCAAGCATGCCAAACTATCTGATCTTCTACCTTGAATAGCTTTCCTTCTCCTTCTTTCCCATCTGTTTGATTGACTCCTACGTATACTTCAAGACAGAGCTTAAGTGCCATTTTCCTGATAGAGCCTTCTTTGATTCCTTTCTACTCTAATGTGTGTAGTCTTCCTCCAAAGCATTTATCATCATGTTGCAGTAATTGATTTTATATTCTGTTCCCCTGTAAGATTATGAATCTGTTTAGGAATAGACTATATCTTGTTTGTACTTGATTATATCTTAAATGCTTATGAAATATTTGCCCACTCTGCACTCCTTGTAAAATGTCAACTCTCAAACATAATCAGTGAATCCTTGTGTGTTTGTATAAGGAGTTTTTCCTGAAAGCTATTTTCATTTCAAAAATTTACTCATTGACTATGCAGTTGTCAATGAAGTCTGCTAGATCTGTCCATGAAGGAAGCCCTGGTAGCATGGCTTAAAAGGCATGTCTAATCTGCAAATTTTATTTTTGTTTCAGTTAAAAAACCTGGATCCATTTTTACTGTTTGATGAATTTAAAGGAGGTAGACCAGGTGGATTTCCTGATCATCCACATCGAGGTTTTGAAACCGTGAGTATAATAATTTGACTGTAGTGAGATTGGCAGTAGTGGGAAACTGCTGGTAGGCGGGGCACACCTCATTAACAAGGGTACCTGCATAATGAACATTTGTATACCTAACCCTGAATTGTACCCCACATCTTTAAAATAGAAAATTAAAAAAAGATATTAAAAAAATAATTTGGCTGCAGAAGCACGTATTTTAAAACTTACTTCTAATAGAAAATCTGATTTTAAAAAGCAATGAATAATAGGCTAAAATTAATTTATAAGTTGCTTGCTATATAGACTGTCTAGTACAGAATTGCATTATCTATTTAGATAAAATACACTCAAATTTAAATATTTACTATTTTTAATATTCTTTGAATTTGTGTCACTGGCAACATACCCATCTCAGCAGCTAATAAGAGCAACAATTGGCTTCCTAAAATATTTTTATAATTAAAATTTTATTAGAGATAAAAGAAACTAAGATGAGATTGAAATAATTTTATATGGAAAACCTGTTTTTATGCAAGAATGTTTGGAAATGTTTAACTTCATTAATATACACTCTAAAAAAACAATCCAAGAACTAAATGAATATTTATATTAATTTCGAAGGAATTATAGAATCAAGGACAAAAACATAGCATGGCCAAAAAATTAGGATTTTAAGGACATACATATATGTTTACAAGTTAAATTGTAAAATTTAGAGATTCTGCTGAATGTTAATTTTCACTTTTAGTTAGATATAGAAATAAAAATGTGTAATACAATATTGTGGCACTTTGAAAGATTCCCATTTTCCACACATACATATATTCTGGGAAGGCTCAGGGATAGTTACTTCCTAGTTACAAAGTTTAGGCATCTTCTCCATGAGAACAGCCTGTATTCTTAGGAAACAGACTAGGGCTTGTTAAAGGCTTAGTGTGTTTGTGAAGCCGATTAGTGAATGAGTAAATATTTACTGAAGGCTGGTGACATGCAGGCGTTGGTGTAGGGTGATCTTTTGGATGTTAGGGTGTGTGCTGTGTATTGGGGAGAATGAGTTGAAGGCAGAGGGACAGATGCTAAATAAGAGTGAGCCGTGATCCCTTCTTGCCTCTCTTTGCAATCTAACTAAGGAGGTGAAAGGTGGACAGAGAGAGTGCACCACTGCAGTGTAAAGACACTTCGGGAAGCAGGATCAGAGTAGTTAGACTCTTCTCCCTTTCTTACTTAGCCATCCACCTTCCAGTTCCCTTCTCTGCTAATATGTTGATGACACTGTGTCTTGCTTTACAACAATAATGGAAGCCATTCCTTTCACTTACCCTACACTCATGCTGGATTCTAACCCTGTTCCCGGAACGTCTCCACTCTGTGATCCTGCTCAAGGTGCTTCTTGTTCACTCCATCCCACAGCTCGTACCATCTTATTGCTCCTTCGAAGTCTTTTCAGATATCACTATCTCCATCAAGTTTCGCATTCTTTCCCAAGAGGATGCACTTTCTTTTTTATTTGGCCCCCATAGCATTATATTTTTACCAGTCTCATACATGTAATACCTGTATAGTGACCTTGATAATATTCTGTCTTGCATTAGAGGTGGGAAATGCCTTAACCTCCCTTTACACACCCAAGAAGACTATAAATTGCTTCAGCTGAGATTATTCCACAGATCTCCATGTGGAGATAGCAACTACTGGCTGAATTTAATAGGATAATAAAAAAAGATGGTTCTTGCTGAAGACAATGAATATATTAAATAAAATGAATGGTGAAGCATGTTTTTTTAATTTCCATGTGGAAAATGCCTTCTACTGGGTTGCTTTATAAATTATAAAGTACTTAACTTTAAACAACTCGAAGTTTAGCTGTAGAATATTGGTGTTTGGCTCTTAAGTAAGAATTTTCCTTAAAATTATAGCTATAATTATTTGTGTATTCACTTACTTGCTAAACTTTATTTGTAACCCCCAAATCAATACTCGTGATGCTTTTGTGATAATTTGTGGACATGTGCAGAGTGGCAAAAAATTTGAATTGCCCAATGCACATTCCCAGCTGAGGTTGAATGAAGTGATGTTGTGTTTTCTTGTTTCAGCTCTCATAATGTAAGCAAGTGTCCTTTTCACAGTATATTTAATGCCATGTTTTCACATCTGCATGCCTTTTGCTGATGATTTTGCTGTTGAAAATGGCTCCCAAGTGTAGTACAGCAGTGCTGTCTAGTGTTCCTAAGGGCAAGAAGACTGTGATATGCCTTATGGAGAAAATCCATGTATTAAATAGGCTTAATTCAGGTATGAGTTATAGTGCTACTGGCCGAGAGTTCAATGTTAATTAATCAATAATATACATTGAATACAGTGTTTTTAAATAGAAACACACATAAACAAGGTCATGTACTAATAGATCGAAAGAAATATGGCCAGAGGCTTGAAGTAACATAATCCTATATTTCCACTCGGAGCAATGGTTTAGTGTTCACGAATTCAGTGATCATGGCTACTTTATAGAACTTAGCAACTTCAAATAATGAGAATTGACTGTATCCATTTTCTCAGGAGTGTTGGTAAGCCAGCACTCAACTATCTCTTAATAATATGAACTTTAAAAGTCTGAATTGTAAGGCCAGATCCACTTGTTGTCTCTCATCACCTCCTGCATTGAGCATTTTCTAAATTATATGGGTTCATTGTAAATTTTGAAAATGCCGACTAGTATAAAGAACGAAGCTAGGATCATCTGTAATGTTACCTTATCATCCAGAAATAGCTATTGCTATTATTTTGATGTATTTTCTTTCAGTACTTTTTCTGGTATAATGCTATTTACATTTTGCATCTTTTTCTTTTTTACTTAATATTATACTGTTAGCATTTTTTTCAATATTCTTCAAAAAACTCATTTTAATGGCTTCATTAAGCATCTGCCATGATGATTGTACCAACTGGCATTACCACAGTGGTGTATGAGGGTACCCGTTTTCCCTCGACGTCACCAACACAATGTACTTGCTTGACTTTTCTTATCTTTCATATTTTGACAAGCGACAAATAATACTTTATCATAGTTTTAACTTACATTTATCTGAGTGAGGTTGATTTTCTTTTTATTTTAAAACAATTTTTCATCAAACATTTTCATCCTTGGCTTATTTTTTTTTTCCTGCTGGATTGCTGGTATTATTCTTATTGCTTTATAGAAGCTATTCATATATTAAGGAAATCAGACCATTTTCAGTGGTAAGAATTGCAATACTGTTAAGAGGGATTAGGCTTGTTTTGTGTACCTCTGAAGGTAAACCTTTCAATGCAAAGCATAGATAAAAAGCAAAAGAAGGAAGAACTATCTAACAGCTATGCAAAAATAGAGAGAATAGGCTTCCTGGATCAAAGTGATTTTGTTTTTTCTCTTTTTTCTTTTTTGTCAGAGTCTCACTCTGTCTCCTAGGCTCGCTCACGGCCACTGTAACCTCGACCTGCTGGGCTAAGGCGATCCTGCCACCTCAGCCTTCCAAATAGTTGGAACTACAGGCATGCGCCACCACACCCGGCTAATTTTTTGATTTATTGTAGAGATGAGATCTTGTCAAGTTGCCCAGGCTGGTCTCGAACTGGTAGGCTCAGGTAATCCTCTCACCCCAGCCTCCCAAAGTGCTAGGATTATAGGTGTGAGCCACCACGCCTGGCCTCAAAGTGATTTTCTTAAGCCTGGAGTAATAGAAGCATACATTGAATGTTCACATAGTAGATGTATTATCAGGATTAATAGTCAAAATAGTCACTGCTCTGCTGGAGCTCCCTTTTAAAATAAAAATGAAATTATGCTCTACTAACATATGAGTATAAAATATGATAATATACATATTTTGACTGCGTATTCACATTTATTTAAACTGATAGTGGTACATGATCAGTGGAATGTGGAGAATATTATTCTATTAAATTTTCATGATTTGAAGTGTGACCCATAAACCAGGAGTGGTATCATCTGTAATCTCAGTCTTCACTTCAGAGCTACTGAATCAGAATCTTCATTTTAACATCATCAAGTGATTGATATACACATTAAAGTTTGAGAAATGCTGGTGTAGGGTCTAGATGACCTTCTAAACCAGAAATATTGTGATTCCACGCAATAAATAAGAAGTAGAATCTGATTTTACTGAGTTAATGGCTAATCACTTTTTAAAGTTAACTCTTAGTTTTGGGTAGCTATATATTTTCAGTTAAAAACTTGCCTGAAAATTTAGGAAGATGGCATGCCCTGGAGAAGGAAGCGCAGCGGGTTGTCACAAAACAAAGGGAAAAATGCATTCAGTATTTATTGCCAGGAGTTTGGACTCTGGGGAGGATTGTTTTCAAAAGGACTGAGTGGTAAAGGATGAAATAATGTTGTAATTATCCTGTTTTCAGTGAGTCCTGAAATTGTGATTTGCTTAGGACAACTTTAACTGTTTAGAAACAAAGAACGATCTGAAAAATGAGCAAGTATACTAAAGTTTAGCTTGAAAAAGAGGTACTTAGAGTTCATACACCACTGATGAACGCTTCACCTACCACGAGAAGAAACGTGATTATATCTTTTGAAATCATCCTTAAGTGATAGCCTCAGGACGCTCCAGAGTTTAAGCACTGAAAGTCTCCTGTCCACAGGACCCCCTCAATCCTGGCAAACTGGGGTGGTTGGTCACTCTTGCTTAATTAACTTGAAGAACTGTTAGGAGTAAACCGCCCTGCCTGCTTTGCAAGGACATTTTGGAATGGTCTTGTCTACTGTGTTCTCAAGTAGGCTGAGGAGTGTTTTAAATTTTTTTTTCAATGCAAGCCTCAGCAAGTTCTTTTATTTTATTCAGGAGAACAAAACCGCCCTGTTTCCAGGGGCGTGCCCATCAGAAAAGCCATGCTCATATTTACTGGTTGGTAGCCGGTAGCGTTTGCGTGCAATGCCTGAACAATACCCTGGAGAGGAAGGGAAAGGTCTTGGTGACTCACACCTAAGACTTCTGACTGGATTCAGACCTCCTGGC